ACCTTCAGGAAACACGCTATGACGAATTGCATTGTTAGTCCTGCTGCAGGGATGAGTATACTGTTTGTGCGCTGAAGGCTTCAGGGCACCAATGTTTAGAAGGGCGCAATTAAAATGAATAAAGAAAGAATTGAATTGTATTGAGTACAATTAATCCTGCTGGTGTGTCCTAGAGCACATCCCCATCTCTGCACTGGTAAAAAAAAGTCCGGCTGCAGAAAACCATAATGAAAGCTTTGCCAGTGCTGGAAAATTAATTAATTAGCAAACAAACGGGTAACGGCTGTCACTGCAGCCCAGCGTGGGAACGCGGCACGCAGCTCCAAATGACTGTTTACTCAGCAATTAGGATAACGGGCTTTGTTAATTGGAGCCCCCCCCCCAGGACCTTCTGCGACTGAGCCAAGTCCATGCCATGGGGACCGGATCAGCATAGATACAATCCCTTCATCTAAAACGGGTTCGGCTTCCCAATCAATGTCCGCCCTCGATGTCCGGTGGTGGTTAATGCACTTCAGTGTTTTACTTCGCACTTCTCTGCTAAGTTAAATAAACAATGGACGGCTCTTTAAAGAACAACTCTGAAAACTGAAAATAACCTACTTATTTAGCTCATATTTATAGAGAAAGCCCTTACAACGTCATTCCGTTTTGCCAAAGTGAGCAGGATAACACTGAAATATCACATTTTCCGTCCCTATGACGCAGACTATAGCGTTGTGTGACCCGCAGGGGGCGACAGCAGGAAGAGCCCAACCATCAGCGTCACTCCTGACTCATTGAGGAGCGGGCTCTGATTACTCGGTACAGAGGCAATCGGCACTCACAGGCAATTCAAAAGCCTCAGATCCAGGGGTGGGGGGGAAAGGTGGTTACATCCCTCTCCCCCCCTGAACAGAATCCTTGAGCCTGCCGGAGTTGGTATTTATGGAAACCCTGTAATGACATGCATGGGCAGGCGGTTCAGGGTGTTAGGAGATACAACGGCCACTTCTGTCACGGCAGGGCGAGGAGGTGCTCCAGGAGGTGCGCCTTTACCACCTCACATCCACTCCAGGGCTCCTCTTCAAAGGGGAGATTAATCCACATACTGCGGAAACCCGTCCAGTTTACTGCATGGTAAACACAAACTTTTTTCATAATCGATGGCGCTTCTGCTAAAAGCAGACTTAAATTAAAGTCAATACATTCACAACTTACAACTCTGTAAAACTATAGTTGAATAGCTTGTACCTCAGTGTGCTGAGTAACTTAGTAAACCAGTTGTTTCAGTGGCGAGGAATTATTTATGTGTATAAAGTAAAGCAGAGCCTGTGGCAGTCTGCGGTTTGTGCATGAGAAAGGCCACGTTAAACATTAAAAGGGTTTATGACAAGTAACAGGTGGGGGTCCACAGACAGGGAACATTAAACAAGTTTATCTCTGCGCCACTTTGAGAAACATCTCGCCTTATGGGGGGGGGGGGGCAGATTATGGCAGATAAAAGATGCCTCACCCTTATGGTATATAATGGAGGGGGGGCAGCCAGAGTCATAGAGACCGCCAAGCTTTTTGTGTGTGTGTGTGTGGTGTGTGTGTGTGTGTGTGTGTGTATGTATGTGCGCGCGCAGAGTGCGAGAGACACACTTATCCCAGTCCACCACCTGACCTGTACTCTGAGGGTAAAAGAAGCCCACAATAGCTGCTCCTCTATTTCTAGTGTCTCTAAAAACATTTAAATTTTGACATTAAAAAAAACCCCAAAAAAACAGAGGATGTCCTGAAAAGTCAGTGATACGCATCGGAACTCAGAGATGTCTTGATATAAACAGCGTAGAGGCTAAAATGACATTTTGTAGGTTAATTTGACTTAATAAAGCTCTTGCTAAGAGGATGATACTCCACAAAATCACATTAAATAATTTGCCACGTTGCCAGGAGAATATTTATTAGCAGGCAGTTGCAATCTGCCTCGCTAACAACGCTAGTGAGAGCAGGGGGCGTGCGTTCGAGAAACGGCGGTAAAGTCGGTCGGCGCGTCACACCTGCCTGCGCACGGCACCTGTGCAAAGCCTATTCCTGGACACCCGCTACCAAGACCTCAGGGAAGGAGAGGAGGCCACGCCCCCCCCACCCCCCCATATGCTGCACGCCTGCATCGCATGCCTGCCACATGGCCGCCGCCTTTGCCGCAGGCTGGCCTGGGGTTCAGGGAGGGGTCTCCAACAGCACACGCTTAACGGCCGAAAATCGCAGGGAATGCGACCTTTTCCCAGCGCCATTTGTCCAGTAAGACAGCAAAGCTAACTGGGCCGCTTGTTCATATAATAAGATCCACACCAGTAATTATGTGTCTGAAGACACCCCCTAGAGGTGGATGGCTTTCTGTAGCACTGACATTGTTTCGTTCAGGGTATAAACTGGGCCCCGTTTCCTGGTGGTATAAGCTCAGCAGCCCAGTCCACCCTGCCCACACCTGTGGAGGGTAGGTATACTCGATACCCAACGGTGCACACTCATTTGCGTACGATACGGAGGATGTTTGCATGCGATGCCTTGACATGCCGTTACATTATTTACATAAACAGCGTCTTTAAAAAAAAAAAAAAAAGAGTCAAACAGAAGAAGCAAGGAAACATGGAAACTGACTCACAAGAGACTAAGAGTGTGACACTGCGTATGGCCTATAGCATAGAGACAGGTGGCTTTACCTAATACCATGAAATATCATGAAATGGTGAGAAATACATCAAAATGTGAGAGGAGTTTGCATGTTCTCCCCATGAAAAGCCAAGCAGTCAGGCCAGTGTGTGTGTGTGTGTGGGTTGTGTTTATATACCCCAAATGTACCCCACAATGTGGTGAAAACCTGTTATTTTGAAGTTGTGGGGACCATTTTCCAGGTCCGCATAAAGATCTGTGACTGCAATTAAAAACTTGAAAATGCCAAAAGTTTCATGTTTTATTTGGTTACTTATGGTTAAGGTTAGGGCTGGGTAGGGGTTAAAGTTGTCATGATGGGATTAGAGTTTTGCCCACAGAAATGATTGGAGAGTCCCCACAAAGATATGAGAACAGGTCTGTGTGTGTGTGTGTGTGTGTGTGTGTGCGCGTGTGTGTGTGTGTGTGTGTAACCATCTGCATGTCTGTGCCCAGTAATGGGCTTGCATCTCCTGCAGAGAGTGTACGCCAGCCCTGTATTGCGGATAGACAGCAGGATCCCCAAGACCCTCACCAGGATAACCTGTTGGATGAATGGATGGATGGATGGATGGTAGGACAGAAGAACAATCATGTTCTCTGGACTTCAGTTTCACATTTTCATACTTAGTAAGGCACACGCAAATGCAAACTAATGATGAACTACAGAGCTTTTATTCTCTAACCACACACAAGACTTTTGCCTATTTTCGTTTTTTTGATTGCATTCACAGACTTATATAACATTGAGTTCTCCGTTAATATATACCAAATCAGACACATGCGCCGCCCACACTGTGCCACCCTGCGTATGTCTGCCCCCCCCTTTCATTAACATACCACTTCGAGGCGCCCGGTGAGCCTGGTGGCCATTCAGACAGGCCCCTGCATGGAGGTGCTGCAGGTTTCAGGTCTGACAGGTCCAGGTTTGCATTCGTCTCCTAACGGGCCTCAGAATGCATGAGACTGACAGGATCAGAGACACGAAGCTACTGCCGGGGAGCTTAAAGGCCGCCTGACCGGTACAAACCCCAACGGCATTTCCAACCAGCTGTCTGTGCATTTTGGTGCCCCTCATAATTTAGCACAACGGCGACAGCTAAGGCAGCCTAACCTGGTGAGATTGGTCAGCCAGTCCAAATTAAATCACCCCGGTGCAAATCACTCCCTGTACAGGAAATCACTAGGCTAATGAAGGCGTTTGTCTCCAGGGACGACAGCCAGCCCACTCAGCAACCCCTGGCCTGAATCCCCCAACCACCAACACTACCACAACCTGCCACCCCCCAGAGATGTCGTAAATCTACTGGACAGGCCTTAGTGCCAGACACGCAAAACCCAAACCCTGTACCGACATCACACACTGATGCTATGAGACCTGAGTCGGCGGATCTGGCCACCCAAAGGTCATCACAGATTAACCCTATAAGGACCATCTGGCACAAGAAGACACGTTAATCCAAAATACCTCTCATTCTTTGCAAAAATACCAGGGCTGGATGTGTGGCCCTCACATCCCCATAATCTCTTCCTATTCCTGGGTGCAACATGATGCCTTCAAGCCCCGCCCACTAACACCCGAGTGGAATCAACTAGCCAGCCCATAATATGCACCTGTTACTCATCCAGTGCAGATGCGATAAAAACACAGTGCATAGAGAGAGGGTAAACGAGACACACTCACGCGTTTGCTAGCTTAAGCAGGACAAGCAGCCAGAGCAGATCTCCATCCCTCTATCCATTTTCTATACCCACTTGTCCTATTCAGGATCACAGGGCTCCAGAGCCTATTCTAGAAGCTTTGCAGGTAACAACCCTGGATGGGGCACCAACCCACTGCAGGGCACATCTGATCATCTCCTCAACTGGCAAATTCAAAGACCCTTCTCAGGTCTCTCTAAAACAACCAAACCTTTGATGATCAAAATCACTTTTTATTCCAGCCGTTGTCAGAGGACATGTCCATGCAGATGGGTGATTGGTGACCTGAGCAGACCTTCATCATCACTGACACCCCCCCAGCTCAGGCACCTTCTGACCCCCACTCACCTGGTTCGGCGTACCAAACATCTGCAGCTGCAGACACTCAAGCGATGTCAGGTTCTGCCAAGAGCCAACTGTGGCTTTTTGACTGGGATGCCAGGACTTTTGGTTTGGGCCAAATGCCACTAGGGATACACTCAGCAGCCCTGGTCACAGAGGTCAGTGGGTACAGCTGGACCATTCCTGAGAGGTCGTGCTCAGTCCCAGCCAGCTTGTGTCCAGTCCCCGACCACGCCTGCTCCGCCTGATCTACGATGCGGCAGCACGCAGACTCTTACCTTGTTTGAGTATGGTGGCTTCTTGAGGTTAATTCCATCCCTGATGAGCTTATCTCGAATCATTATCTTCAGCTTGAGCTTTGGATAAACCACCAGCTCCTTGTGATGGCCGAGGGTCAGATTCCTGTGGGTGCTTGGACACCCCTGGCTCCTGGGCACTCGCTCGCTTTTAGGTTCAGTCCATGACTTTGAGCCCCGGAGTTTGCTCTCGTACTGTTCCACCATGTGGCTGGTGTAGATGTCTGAGCTCAGGGGCATGGGCTCCAGGGTGAAGTACAGCCCAGAGGCCGCGTCTTTGTCCTCCTCCTTCAGCCTCTGCACCGCATCATGAATCCTCTGCCGGTGGTGTGGAATGAAGACCCCAATGGCGTCCAGATCGGGGTCCCCAATTTGCTTGCAGACCTCCAGGTCGTCGTACCCATTGTCCACGAAGGACTCCACGTACTGACACAGACGCAGCGTTTTGAGCCACTCGTACACGATAGTGGGGCCGTTGCTCATCATCGTGGCGAGCGAGAACTTGCACTTGACAGCGGCTCTACTCCGAAGGGGGACCTTCTTTGGGGCGCAGTCACAACGCCGCGACGGCTTACAGCTCGCACGCACCCGACCCCGAGGCACGTGCGTCGCGCATGTCTTGGGGTCTCAGCCCGGTCCTCGAAAAGAAACACTAAAGCAAATTCCCTTTTGGTCGCTTTTTCAGAAAATCAACACAATAAGAATCTGTGCACTGTGCAATTCTATTGTTTTTCTACGTGCAGACAAAGACGGAAAATTATAATAATGAGTTGATTGATTCCACAAACTGTCGTATTCTCAGTCTCCCAGATTGAGATGCCACCGCTCGTATCAGTCAAATCTTGGGAATCAACTACGAGCATCCGCATTCTCCTCTTCCCAAACAGCTGACACGTTAAAACAAATCATCTCACGTCACCGCATATCAGCCATAATATACGCTTAGAGATCCTCAATATCTACAGCACTTCCACTTAGAATCAGTGAGTGTCCTCTCTTAAAGACATGTCTCCTTTTTAATTGTCTTGATCACTCTCCTAGTTAAACTGCCATTGCGAGGCATTGGGTTTCAGAGGAACTCCGCTTACAGTTTGCTCTCAATCTGTAACCGTATGTTGCCGTGCACTGAGAGCCTGAAGTTGTGACTGTGCTTGTCATCTGTTTTGTTCTGCATACATGCTTTGCTCACCTTAGCCGCTCTCCTTCTCTATACGTCCAGAAAAATACACCGTTATAAATAAAAATGCATCGCGCTTCCTTTTAATCCAAAGCACTGTAAGCTGGTTTTGACATCGCTTTCAGCAGTGTGTGCCTCGGATTGTCTAAGCATTCCGAAAATGCTAATGCACCTCGCAAAGAACAGCGATACATGCATTTGAAACGCAGATCCCCAGAAGCGCCAGGCTTGCTTTGCATGCCCGCGGTTAATTAATCAGCTAAAACAGTGCAGTCCACACGGTCGCTCCCGGATCGCTCGGTGACATACCCAGATCCACTGATCATCAGCGGCTGCATTAAATAAATCCTGCTGGGTTTCTCTTGCCGAGCTGTCATGCAAAGCCGAGGCAACACGTTTCGGCAGACGTAAACTTCACTTAGGGTAGCGAAGAAACACAGCGTGCCGGATTAAACGAAGCCGATGCCCCGGCTTGCTTTAAACTGACTGCGGATCGTGGACTTGTTTGTTTCAGAACCCGTACGTTTCTTCTCGCCCCAAAGTTGCTCTTCGCGATCCATCCCCTCCTCGCTTTTTTATGTACTAATAACATACCGTTTCTTGCCCGAGGAGCTGGCTACGCAACAGCTCCCCCTACCGTCCATAGCGGTTGCATGTCGGACTCTGCTGGGCTCAATGAAACCGAAAACAGGCACACACCTTCACTCAGAGGCAAAACCGTCCTATAAATGACATATTTACGCGTGAATGTCACAGGATGATTTTCTGTGCAATACTCCTCTGACAGAGAAACGCCAGGTACTGCAATACCAGTGCAGTGCAATACCAGTGCAACAACGTAGGCAGCACTCGCTGTGATTCTCATTAAACTACGACTCGCATGATTGGGGTTCATTATTCCGCCATAAGTTGTGGTTGAAAAGAATAAAAATAGTCCACTATGAATATGCTGAAATGGGTTTCCTCATTGACATAGTCTACACTCCATCTGCCCGAAACCATTCACTCAGAATGACACATTTGTTTGATACCAGAAAGTAACTCCAGGTAGCTAAGAGCAGCGCCAAGCAGAACTACACTATTCAAGCCGGTTTTAAAAAATCCAATCTGATTCAGAAAGATAATAGAACTAATTGTGGGAATGTACAGATTAAGTAATTTCCCAAACATAGCATTTGGCCGCAACTTGTGTGCTCAGCCTACTTCTGGTGAAATGCATCGACCGTAAGCAAGATTAATATAAACAACAGCATTGGATTTTTATCATATATGTACTTCTATTTGCCAGGGGTGAAGACATCAGCAAGGGTAAATAAATTTGCAAATATGACCATACGCCACCTTATCGTAATATCCACAAGAACATTATCCACAAGCACTGCTAATTATTCACTGGAGCTGAAAATTTAAGTATAGAGTTCTGGCGTTGTAATGGGTGTTTCTGATGTAACCCATCTGAGTCAGATCAAGAAAAGAACACGCGAACACTAATGGTACGTCGCGGCTGCCCCTAGCGGCCTCGCTGCGTTATGTGTTTTAGGAATGCCGAGTCATTAAGACGCTGAGCTTCGCTTACTTCTACCGTCTACATACTACGCCCTTATAATAAAGATAGTGAGAAAGCAGCCGTTTCCCAACACCTCTAATACCAAAACAGACATGATTGCTGGAATATTACTCTTCAGTCTCCTGTAAGGGAATTTGGGGTAAACCGTTTTGCCCCCATGTAGAAAGAATCACAAATTTTATTCCGCTGCCTATCAAATTTAACTAGACACAATACCAGCTCGCCGGAATTTCAATAATCTTTGTTCCAGAGAGCACCGACATTGAATCAATATTTCCAACCCCTGTAATTATGACTTTCAGTAAAGGAAGTTAATATTCTATGTAAATTGTTCTTCTGGATCGGTGAGCATGTCATTATAACATTAAGTTATCTAAAATCAGTTTAACAGAAGGAACGCGAACAGAATTTAGTCATTTATAGTCTACTGGTGACATAATGACTGACATAAATTATCCGCTGCAAACCAACAAATATAATCTTAACATTTTCACGCATAAAAAACAAACCCGAAGTCGTTAACAGCCTCCTTAGTGGTTTGCATTCCTTTATACGTTCACACCGTGGTAATATTACCACAAACACACCGCACTTGAAACGAAACTTGGCTAAATTTTTGAGTGTGTGCCGCCATCTAGTGGACATGAATTTCTTTACATCCGTAATGCCAGGCCAATTACGCAAGATTAAGCATCGCTGTGGTTTAATTTGTTGCAGTGGCACCTCACACCTCCAGTGCTGTTGGTCTCTTTCCTCTGTATGTGGAGTTTGCTTGTTGTTCCTACTCCGTGAGCTTCCACCCACGGTTCAAACACATATAGTTTAAGTGTGCTACTCCTGTAACGGACCAGCGTCTTGTCTGGCATGTGCCTCGCCTTGTTCATGCGCTTCCTGGGATATAGACTCCAAACTCAATGCACCATTACACGAGATAGTTGGGAGGTAGTGGAAGAGGGTTAGATGGCAATCGCTTGCGTTTGCAGTAAGAAATAGACCTCGCGACATAATATTTACACAATCGTTCATTTATGGTGAAGCAGGATGAGTTTTAATTAATGGTGCGCAAGCAACGGCGTATGAGACAGTTTGATATGGGGGCACAAATAAATTAATACAAAGGGTTATTTATTTGAGGGATGAATGAAGCCAAATTAAATATTGGGAGCATGATCGTACCTACCACTGAGGACAAAGAGGTCAAGTACTGAGTATTTTTCTGCAACTCCAATAACCACGATCCATTACGGGGCAGACCTAGGATGGGTTAACACTTCTGACCTCGGTATTTTAAAAATCCTGTCCACAGCCCTCAGCCCACCCCCCACCCCCTTGTTCCTACGCCCCTCTGTGCATGCAAGAATCTTCAACCTTTTTTTGTCACCAGTTCTGATCTTCACTTACCCAATTTCTGCCTCGTATAAAGTCAGCACTTTGTGCTGAACTGGCACATCATCCACTGATAATTAAATTACCCGTGAATACTGCGCATTTATCTAAAACGTGCATGCTATTAAAAATAAAGTAACACGGAAACCGGTATTTCATTTTTCATATTTATTTCCCATTGCACAGTAATTTCTATCTACAGAATTTCTAAATTGTTTGTGGCAGCAGATTCATAGTCATAAACATCCATGTGAAATTTGCATAAAACTGTACAAGAAAAATTGGCTACAATGAGAAAATACTGCAACCCACTGGTAACGTATTTTTCCAAGACAGAATATGGCGAATAGGAGACAAACTTTCCCAAGTATGTTAAAGTGGATTCTTATCAGGAGAACACTGGATGCTAGGGTTACAAAAAAGAGAAACGAGAAGGGAGCTAGGGCATCTCAGTCATCCATGTAATATTTTCCTCACGTTTTCTGGGAAGGTACAGTAGTAACTAGTCACCGACATCCTCACGACAATGCGCACACAGCATAGAAAAGAAAACAAAAGGGCTAAACATGATAGAAGGCGCTGAAATTACCGGTAAAGGTGTATATGTGGAGGAAAGCGAGCTCGGAAAATGATGACGGGCTCAAACGGCGTTTTATTAGTAAACACTGAATATCATGCGTCCGCTATTGTGCAAGAAATAACCGGGTCTGTGCCCGCCGGCCGCCGACGTTTGTCGGTACCAATACAACTCCAGCGCGACCCAGATGTGGACAAGACAGAATCCGCGTTTACAGGCTCACCGTCCAGCCGACACCAGCCGCTCCGAGATACAAATACCGTACATTTTCTCATTAGAAACATGAATTAATCTTTCATTTTTAAATATAGACAATATACACACCCTTTATGCACACAGGTAATGATAAATATCTGTAATATCTTTTTTTTTCTTAAACTATAAATTAAATTATTGATTTATCAAATTTATTCAAATTAAAAGTATAGTACAAATATAACAGATTATCAATAAACGGAACTTGGAAACAAATCTGAAAGTGTGGCCGTTCCTCCTTACCATAATATATTATTTATGAAGAATCGATCAGTTTTAAATGCGTTGGTCCTTTTTTATGTGCTCTAAGGAGAGAGCGGCGACCAAATGAAGGTGAAACGCCAGTGCAATAAGAGCAGAAACAATACAAAAATACAGGATTCAGATATCAGCACTGGCCACCTTCTCTCCCATAAGCAAGCATTTAGACATAAGTTATGCGGGGGGTGACACTGCTAGTTACTGCATAATGCAAATGACACAGCCGTTTGCGCAGCACGGTAAGCGCAGCTGTCTACGGCAGGCCGGGGCCGGGGCCGGGGCAAAGGGGGGGCGGGGCTGAAGACTTTGGGGATAAACAGAAAATAACAAAAACGAAATCTTTGGCGTCTGACACGAATATGGCGACTAACCTTTTCTCATCACTTTGGGAAATCTGCACTTTCAGATTTGCCTCCAGCTGTCTCATTATTTACATCGGGATGTAAAAACTTGGCTGGAAAAAAAGCTTTATCCCTCAATCGGTAAAGAAGGAAAAACTTCCGGCTAGATGTTCTCCTACGTGACATAAATAGCAGCTTTTTGCACTCTATAAAAAAAACCGGAAAGACTCACATTAGAATACCAATAAGGAATTATACATCTCCACATACAGTAAAACATATATTAATGTGTTCTTGTAACTAGTGCACCATTATGTAGTTACACACACGTTTTGCAGACGGATACACTCATCGGTCGAGATTAGTAATAACGCATGACGTACCGCCCCGGGAGAGACTCTCCGGCTGATAATCCCTGGAATGCCAACCAATAGGATAAGACAGAGCGCTGTGACGCACTTCATTGTGAGGGGCAGCTACGGCCAGCGGCCGTCAAGGGCTTTCTGCCTACAGGACTGCGTGTGTGGTCACGCGAAAGGAACAAAAGCACCTGAAGCCGTGGATGATGAATAAAATAAATGGGAAGATTAAAACACACATATTTCATTTCAGTGAGCAGAAAATTTGGACTGGATTCTATCACCCACGTCTCCATTGCTCCAGCTTAAAAAGCACAATTCACAGACAAAACAAGGGTGACTACATAGGCAGCAATATATATATATATATATATATATATATATATTTCTAGAAAGTCCACAGCCTATACGCAGGCAGACCCCAGTCAAAGCATTTCTGAAGCTAACACACACACACACACACACAATATCCTTCCCAGACATCCCAACAACCTGCCTTTGGCACCGTGTAGGAGACCTGCCACAGGGCCTCTCGTCCTGCAGAAAACAAGCTTTTCTGTTTATGGCTACGAACGAACAGAAATTCGCCGTGATTCATCCAGCCATTCTGCCATTTCCCTAACAAATGCCGCGAAGTACGTTACGCTCTACATGCTCCTTAACTGAAAGAGGAAGAGGAACAAACTGAAAATAAGTCAGCAGCTCTGAATATTGTTTTTGATACAAGTACCTCTGTACCCCAGAGGCGAAACGAAAACTGCGCACACAGACGCGAATTGCAATGCGTTTCTCGGCTGCAGTGTGAGTGGAAACAACGCAGCACGAGCCTGCGGCACCCGGACGACGGCATCGGAACAAGAAGATGGGGAGACGGTTATCATGGTCACTTCAGATTGCACCTCTGTTGTAAACCTCCTGCCACCAGTGAGTCCATGCCAGAAGTAGATAGTCCAGGTCCAGAAAATAAAAATCCAGATTTTGTTTCAACCAACCAGTTAAGTACTCTATTACTGTTGGTTACTCAGCTGCTTGGTTGAAACAAAATCTTGGCCTGGATTTTTACTTTCTGCTCCTGATCTATCCACCTCTGGTCCATGCAGTAGTTTTCAGACATTAAAAAATCTGGTATTTTAACTAAGAGACATGATGGGCTCTGCGTTACCTTTGAATACCAGCTCTTTTATATGAACAATTAAAATGCAGTTCATTTGCCACAAGATACTCTCAATACGACAAAGAAAACAACCCAGAAGTGATTCACGGACGACAAAGCCACAGACACGTGGGCCATGAGGCGTACAACTGACCGATAGAAAGTCAGAAGAGACTAAGAGCGAAAAGAAACGAATGAGGAACGGAATGAAAAACAAATGTAGTTCTATGTTATAGTGCGGCAGGACTGAACAAGGAGCCTGTTTTCACCCTTTGGGCATCCATTGCTGGAGGTCACCATTTCCTGTGGGTGTCCGGGACATGGTATCCCAGGATTCCGAGGGGCAGAATACCCTGCTCTTCACTGGTGGTTTATCCTCTGTTTTTGCATACGACAGTCATATGTGAATATAGAGTTGAGTAATATTTAGAATTATATATATTTTTTTCTCTTGTTTTTTCAGGTTTTTAAGTTTTGTCTTAGTTACTCTTTGACCTTGTTGGCCCCATTGAGGATAAAAGTGGGAGCGGAGACATTTGGCTTTAGAAAATGGGACAAGGGAGACCCCCTCAGCATGGGACGGGCTCCCTGAGGAGTCTGCTGGCCCCCTTCCTCTTGACCCGGGGATCACTTATACTCTCAGCCATATTGGATGATGTTGGGGAGAAACAAAAAAAGTAAACAGCACAAACAGAAGAAGACACCATCAAGGTGATTTTTTTTTCCCCTTTCGATTCATTTTGCACCCACAGCCGAGGCGGTGGAGTATCACTATTGTGCTGGAGCGTTCCTCTGGGGCCTGTCCCCGCTGTCCAGCAGAACTGAGGGAGGGAGGGAGGTGGGGGGGCCGCTGGCCTCCAGGTGGCGCCGTGTACAAGAGCACGAAGTCCCTCAGCTCCCCCCGCACTGATCAGAACTGGTACCACTTCTTGTCTTTGCACTTCAGCATCATCTGGGAGGGGTGAGAAAGAGCAAAGGGTACACGATGACTGACATTTAGAAACTGAGAGGTGAGAATAACCCCATATACCTGAGGCTGAGTAACCCAAGAATTTAAAACGACTAACTTAACTCACAAACAGTTTTTGTACTGACTGATACTTATTAACAGTATAAATACTGACTATGTAAGCCAACAGATTACTGACTAATACCCTTTAACAGTGCAAGTACTGACTGACACCCATTAGCAGTCCAAGTACTGACTGACACCTGTTAGCAGTCCAAGTACTGACTGACACCCGTTAGCAGTGTAAGTACTGACTGACACCCATTAGCAGTGTAAGTAGTGACTTGCACCCATTTAGCAGTGTTAGTACTGCATGTAGCCAGAGCACAAACACAGATACCCAGGAGCCATAAGGATGTAACAAGTCTCACATCGTGGGCATGTTTGGAGAAGGACTCGGCGCTGGCCATCATGGCCGCCGTCCTCTCCTCCAGTTCTCCAAGCTTCTGTCCTCTCTCATCCAGCGCAATGCGGGCGCGTGCCAGGTCGCCCACCACACCCGACGCCGCCCCCTTCATGCCCTCGATGCCGCCGGGCCCAGGGATGTGCTGAGCCAGGCTCCGCGAGGCTTTGCCCGCCACCGATTCACCGACTGCGAGGAAGAGAATACTTATCACCCAGGAGGTCATGTGATTGACGTGCCCTCAATGCATGCCATTGGTTAAGGCGAGCCCAGAGGTCACGTGATCACCTATGTCATCCATAAGGACAAGAATTAAATAACAGTAGCACGGCTGAGAAACCAGGAGTGCGTTTCCCAAAAGCATTGTTGCGTTCCATCTTACTCGGACATCGGAACTCGGAACTGGGAATGTCACACACGAGTTAACAGCATTCCAGGACAAGTCGGAAAGCCATGTAGCAATACCAGGGACCCATTTCACAAAGCAAGATTTCTCTCTTAGCCGGATAACTTGTTTGATTTAATTTACTCCAGTTTAAATGGCCTTTATCTTCGCTCACTTACGCTTAGCCTTAAATCTGACAAATTGTCAGATGAAGCAAGAAATCCTACTTTCTGAAACAGGCTTGCTTTCTGTGTAGATTCTCCTGAGTTCACAAGTCAGAATTCCAATTTCAGGGGGTGCTGCAGTGGAAATTTCTGACTAGGGCCTTGGAATTTCCGAGTTACGAGTTCAAGTGGGACGCAGCACAAATATGTTAGCAACTTACATAGTTGAAACCATGCAACTGAAGCTCCATCTATTTAAGTTGAGAACAAGAGCTTTTAGGAAACACACCCCAGAGTTTTTTAAATTTTATTTTAAACATTCTTATCCCTCAAACCACCCCCCCCCAACCTTCCTGAACATGATCCAGGTATCTGGGGACATCAAGCCCTCTTTGTTCTGTACAGGTCAGACTTTGGTCCAGCAGGCCTCTGCGTTTTACAGACCCAGGACACCACGACCTTGCTGCCGTCGTGTGCCAAACCACATCCACTCTCTACCTTTCTCCAAATTTCCCTTCATTGCCTCTTTCGTTTAGATTTTTTTGTTGTCCTTGGAGAAGGTGAGACAGAGAAGGCTGGCGCACTGGCTGATGCAGGGTGGGAGGCTGGGGGTGGGGGGGCAGATGGATGAGACAGCAGTATTGGAATGGGGGGGGGTGAATTCAGGCAGCTACTCACACAGCTCCTCCCGGTCCAGGGACTGTGCACCACCCCCAAAGAGACCCTTGAAGAAGCCTCTGTTGGGAGCCTCTGGGGTTTCCACGGGAGTGAAAAGCTCTCCTAGCATCTCCTGGATCACACACAGGATACATAGGCACGTATTCAGGCAAACACACACACGCACACGCACACGAACCGCGCTGCAGCAAAACACAGAACTGCTGCAATGACACGGCAAAGGAAAACATTCATCTCCGGGTCTCTACTGACGTCAGATTTTCCTATTATTTTACCCCTAATTTCTCAGAATGTCTCTACACAGCTTCATCTGCAGTGTCTGTGTGTGGAGGACAAACAAACAGCACTGCTCATTACACATCAGCCAATAGTACGTGCTCCTGGAGAGCAGGCCCCGCCCCCTCACCTGTAGGTTCTCGCAAGTGTCCTGGCTGTAGGTAATCCTCTGGATCTCGGTGGGGGAGATCAGATACATGGCCTGCCCGTTGTTGCTGAAGCAGAACGTCCTGGCGATTCTCATATCAGTCAACGGCAGGTAGTTCACGTCCAGCAGTGGTCTTAGGCTGGGTAGACTGTAAGGACATTGGGGTCAGGAGCGGTGTTAAGGCTAATTCATGGAGTGCCGCCCCTGCATTCCGCCTCCTGTGGAATGTTCAAAATCAGCAGTGAGTCTGTAATTGGGTCCGGAAGCTTCTGGCCGACAGAGTGGAGCAGACCTGGCAGCCCTCTGAGCGCCGGAGCACGCAGGGGTCAGCGGTGGTGGGGCCACGCGGCCAGCTCCGTCTGCCGCCGTCGCGGAATCAGCTTCTCAAGGACAAAAGGGACCTGAGTTCTTCTCCCGAATCAGAACTTTCCTGGTATAGCAGGATGTTGTGGTTATGCGTACGAAAGCAAGTGCTAGCAGACCAGGGAGGTCTTGCGGGTCAGAACTTTCACATTCTTTTTCAAAGACTTAACTTCTTGTACTGGTGTTTAGGTGAACTGCCAGGCCAAGCCTGACCGGGCCAGACTGGGCCAGACCGAGACTGACCATACCAGACCTGGCCAAACTGAGACTGACCAAACCAGACCGAGTCAGAACAAGCTAGACTGAGCCTAACCGAGTCATCTCCATTACAATATGGTTCCCCCCATAAAGTCTCACCTGAGGGCCATGATGTGGCCATTGGCGCAGAAGCAGGCGACGCATACCCCACTGCCCATCTGCACCACGTCGCTGCGCAGCACGAAGGACGTCTCGGTGATACTGTGCTTGACGGAGGCCTGCGAGGGCAGGGCCAGCACCTTGGCCTGCTTCTCCGAGCAAACCACGGCGTAGTGGGTCTCGCTCAGCTCCTGCGATGCCGACGGCGACACCGACACCGGCCGCCGCTTCCGCGCCTTCTCCCGCTCGTCCCGGTCGTCGAAGGCGTTGGGCTCGTACCAGGGTTCGTGGGATGGGGGAATGATGGCGCCGGTGCTGTCCAGAAAGGCCATCCGTAGGATGCTTCCCTTCAGTCTGATCAACGTGCCTAGAAGACACGTTGTTGGGTAAACAGTGTGTAGTGACTAAACCTTGCCCTTGTCCATTCCTGACCCCACCCACACCCTGACACCTACCGCTCGGTGACACGATGACCGGCTGCAGTAGCCTCTGCTCGCCTGGAGGGGGCAAGCTGAGCGCCACGGCCAGCACGGTGCCCAGGGAGGTGCCCACCCACAGGCTGGGCGTGGCGACGGCCTCACCCTTGCGGGCAAACGTCTCGGCGAAGTGCAGCGACGTGATGGCCTCCCGCGCCTCCTTGTCGATGCTGGTCACGCTGGAGCTGCGCGAGCGGCTGAACGAGCTGTCCCGGCCGTCTGGCGGGATGGCGCCCCGCGGGGGACAAACGGAGAGGAGGACAGTGGAGGCAAAGAGAGAGAGAGGTACAGCACCCGTCCCAAGGAGAACAAATGCCCATGAATGGGCAGACAGCAAGGGCGTAGACTTGAGTATGTATGAGTGGTACATGTCCCTGTTAATACTGTGGGAGAACTGTGTTTTTACGGGGCGGGGGTTCTAACCTGATTCGGTCCCTACCAATGTTGAAACTAAACCTACGCCCTTGGCAGACAGACAAGATGTGAAGGATGATTTTATTACAACTATAATCTGTTATATTGTGCTTTCTGAAAGGCAAGCATTGCAGGTTGCGAGGCGAGCCGATGTTTTCTGACATATGACATATGACGCGTTCCAGGCGTGGATACAGCGTGGCCATCGGAGCACAGCAGCATTAGGGCGGGGTGATGCGCAAGGCGGTGGGTTAATGCGGAGCGGCGGGAATGAACGTCACCGCATGCTCCGGGCATGAGGGGGTGAGCCGAGCGGAGAAGGAACGCGGGATGGATTCACGGGGGCTGTGAACCCATCCCAGACACGCGCGCGCACACATGTTCTGCTAACAGCTCTCGTTTCCATCAGGCTGGTCCCTGGGATCTGATCTGATAGCGCTTATCGTCCTCTGAGGCAGGTTATTCCGGCTTCATAAAGACGTCAGAGAGCAGCTGTTTTGAGAGCAGTTGCCCGGGGAGGCTTATGTGGGATGGATGTGAGCCACAGGCTTGATCCGCTGCTGTCTCGGAGATGGTTATTCTGGGATGGATGGGCCCAGGGATTGGATTGAGTACCTGGATGCCCATCTGGGGCCACAGGCCTGTCAATATTCCCGAAAAAGGCATCGTTCTGCTTCTCTACCTGAAGCGTCACCTTTAAGGAAAACTCCACTCCCAGAACTCGCGGTTTCCAAAAACCAGTTTAATCAAAACGGAAGTAAAGGGTCTGACAGGAAGAGCTCATGTTTCCACACCGGTGCACAAGGATCAGTGCACTGTCAGCCCAAACCTGTCGAGCTCCGTCAACCTCAGATGGGCCCACTGACTGACGTCAGGGACAGGCCTAGGTGAGGGGGGGGCGTCCCTTGCGATGACACGCCTCCTGGCTCTGCCCCCGCCCCCCCAAAATCCTGCAGGATGATCGTGGCTCCTGTAAGCTGGAACCGCTGTTTCTGCGCAACTTCAGATCGCAAACAGCACACAGCACACCTGAGAGGCCACACCCCCCCCCCACATACCAGCTGGGACCAGCTGGGGGGGGGGGGGGGGGGGGGCCTCCTCTCTCAGAGCTCGCTGGAACCATGAGGGCCCAGCATTCCAAATTTCTGGCCCAACGTTAAGTCATTCGAACGTTTGAGCGTCCCACATTGCCCACGGCCGCATGATGTTGCAAGATCTGACAGGTGCAGCAATGGAAAAACAACCCCCATCACCACTCTTTAAAAGAGACAAAACAAAAAAAAATGAAGAGTGCAAGCGCGAAGTTAAGGCTTACCCAAATCTGGCTTTAGCTCAGTAGGCAAGCTTAATTTCCGTGACATCTTAGCTGGAAAATAGAAAACATCCCGCCTTTACAAAAGCATTTCTCAGGTTGCACACACGTCATGCAGATGTGTCGGGGATGGCACATGAGAGACGGGGAGGCGGGTCCAATACTGGTCGCCCCCCCCCCAGACAGCGCCTCAGTGGGACGACCAGGCACCATGCCAAATAGACAGCCAAGGAGGGGGGGGGGGGCAGGATAGATCCACAGCACCCTGGAAGAAACCTCACCACACAGAGACAGGCATTCAGAATACTCATGCCAAGGAGCATGCAGCACACAGGAGGAAGGCGGAGGGGAGTGAGGAAGAGGAGGAGGAGGAAGATGGAGAGTCTACATGCAGCACCCAGAACTAGGTCAAATCCCAGTAAAACACTCGCAACCAAACGTGAGCGAATTACAGCCTCGCAGGATGGCAAAGAAGCAACCAAAGAAAACAAAATTAATAAAGCGTGGGTCGTTTTCGGAACGGAGTTCGACCGGTCAAGCAAGAGGTATGGAGCCGTGGAACAGTGTGAAACAGCTTCACTATTGTGATGTAACGGGGATGGTCCCCGTGATGTACACGAGCACGGCGGCAAACCCTTAGCGAAACCCAAAACGGTGACTTTAGTCGCCACTCGAAGCTGCATGGTCGCTCTCCTCAGAACATTCCGGTTATTTCTCTTTTTCTATCATTTCATTGTCACTTTTAAGTTCACATGCGCAAAATATAGATCGTTTAGTCTGCATTACACTAACAGGGAATCACTCAAAGTTGTAAGGGAACACTACTGTTACCAGAAATAATTAATCTTAACACCCCCCTCCCCCCCATTGCTGAATACATGAAGAACAGTCCACGGACCAAAATGGCACAGATGGGATACAGCACAATCACAAATATAGTGGCGTGATGTCAAATCAACAGACGGAATGGCAGTCATGTGACTTGGAGGGCAGGAATGGGGTGGGGCAATTGGTACAAGCACATCGCGCGACGTGACGGAGTCATGTGACATGTGTGGCATGCATTGTCATCGCCCGGCACTGGGTCCTTTTAATTTTTTAATTTTTTTTGCTTTGTTTTGTTCTGTCTTCAGTCAGTCAGCGCCGCAGCGCTGGTGACGTCACACAGGAGCATGACTTCTCTATAACAAAACAGTGTTTGTTTTGTTTTTGTACTGGTACCTCGCGGTGACGCACCGCCACCCTTACCTCCTCTACATCCGCCATTGTACAGCTGCTGATGGTTTGACGTCAGCACTTTTAGGGAAGTAAAGCAAACGAGCAGTTAGAGTAGGCGGGGCTTCGGCAGCTCCATCCAATCACACGCCACCCCAAATACAGACAATTCGCTTCCCGCTCCAGGTTTCCAAGCTAGCTTGTGTTGACTCTCCTACAGTACCTGGAGAGTCGGTGGAAGTTCACACTCATTTCTGTGCATAAAACAATAATGTAAAAGATATATTTCTGCTTGTTGCCCAGCAGAGGGTGCCGCTGAGCACTATGACCTAGAGTGTGGGTCTACCCTGGTATTCCCCTAGAATTGAATTCTCCCCAAGACTGACTTGGGGCTGCGTACTGCACTCCATTCACAGCGCCTGGGACTATAATCATTAGAGGACGGTCTCCCTCACGAGGTTCGAACCCGCATGAGATGCGCTCTGAAAGCTCAGCCAGAAGACATTTATGGTGGCCCCAGTATTCGGCTGGAGAGGGCGTGTGAGGTTTGCCAGAACGTAATCCAATTCAAATGTAAGGTTAATAGAGTTTCTAACTTTATTATACATTTCTCCAGTATAAATCATTCCTCTGGGCTCATCCTTGCCAGAGGCCCTTGTGAAGGATGGGCTTTGTGCAGCTGTTGGCTGGACTTGATGGCGAGGATCCTGTAACAAGCTCCTCTGGGAGTCCGGGCATCGAGACCCAGATTGTAGCCCGGTAAAACGTAAGCAGAGTCATCAGACTGCAACAATCCTGACACGATGTGGTGGGGTGTGGAGGGGGGGCATGATAAAATTGGTCTTGCGATTTTACCTGTTTCCACCAGAAAAACATGGGAGTCTCTTTAACTGGTAAGTTAACTAACTATGCAAAGTAGCAAACTAAACATGGTTTAACTGAAGCTGTGCAGGGCACGTGTGCAAGCTACGAAACACCCAACAACTGCGGGCGTGTAACTGCGGCCGTCTCACTGCAACCGTGCGGCTGAAGCTGATGTGCGAATCTGAGAAAGGGACGAGGTGACTGCTGTCGAGACCCTTCACGTCCGAACGGGTCCAAAGTACGAGGGCAACATCCTGGTAGACCGGGGGCTGTAAACAAAACCGCCATGCAGCCAGGAGGCCTGGGAGATGATGACTCTGTTGACCATCGTCATAAACTGAACCTCGGCAGATTTCTAGCAGAGAAGAGTAGAGTCGTAGAGGCCCCTGCTCCTCCACGCACAGCATGACCACAGAAGCTATCGTGCCGGCTGCGTGTGTGAGGCAGAGCTGGATCCATAAGTGTGTACAGGGAAGAGAATCATATCAGCTAGCCGAGAGCTAACCAACCGATTACCCGATTGGTAGCGTCAGTATCCTGGATCAAGGCGCGGCGAGGGACGGTGGCAGGAGGGGGCCCTGGGGCCCAGCCTGCCTTTCATCACAGCGGGGTTCGGGAGGCATCAAGCAGCAAAGTGCACACCCCAGATTAATTAGGCCCTGGTTCGTTAGTACTGCACAAGAGGAAGCCGGCAAATTAGCGAGAAGCGGAACGCCGCGGGCGTCTGAAACCATACGATACCTAGGTCACTGGATAGCAGCCTGGAAAACGTCCTGCTTAGGGATTTCGCTGGGGACACGTTTCGAGGAAAAAACAAAAAGATGACAAACGGGGGAAAAGGACAAAAAAAAATAAAAACACGTCAAGCCAGTTTCGAAGGAAACATGGGAAGTGCAGAATGAGATTTAAAAATAAGCTTTAAACATAGCGCCAAGCTCGGGGATTAACAGAAAACCAGCAGACGTGGGTGTAATGTTCCTCGGCGCGGACCCACTGTCCGTGCGGACTTAACCCCTCGTGACCTCTACCCCGTTTTGGACGTCATGCGCGCAGCTTTCTGGATGCCTTGTTTATTTTCTGACCGAGCTCTGAGCGCCGCACAGTGAGATAGCAAAGCCGGCCCTGGTGACGCCTGCTTGAATCTCCTTCCGGCATCTCGGTAGAGAAAGCAGAACCAGAAGGGCCTCTTCTTTGGGTCTGTGGTAACATATGGAACCGGACCACTGGAACGGCATTGCCTTCTGATACTCTGCCAATTTAATCTACACCCTTCTGGAATAAAATAAGAATTTATATTGCTTATTTCAGCATTTCTGTGGAAATTATGTTGTGGGAAATAACTACCTTTTTCTGCCAAAGTCAACAAGCTCAGCGCATTAGCAAAACCAGAGCAAAATACCAGGACTGTGCTTCCTGGAAAACAGGGCTGGATTGGACTTTAATCAAATCCACAAAATATCTAAGACTGATTTTTTTTACATAAACTGCCTGAGTGGTTTTGGGGGCAATAAAACTAAGTAGAGCATTATAGAGTCGGTACAGGGGATGACACAACTTTTCATGTGCTGAGGATATTACTGCATCAGATTGGCTTTCATCTTCGTTTAAAAGAGAAGCTCTCACAAAAAGATGGATTTAAACAAAATCCTGACGGCCCAAATGAAAGGGGCAGAAGCTGTAATCGCGTTACCGCAACGTTAAGGCGATCTCAACGCAATATCGACTTAAGACCCGTCCTTATCGCATATGAACCCACCGTTTACATGGAGGTTAATCCCCATTAATGCTGTGAAAAGAGGTGCAAGGGGAAAAAATAGCACCCCCTGGAGGGAGATCCTTCCATAGCAGCAGGGTCACCCCGACACAGTGAGTTACATCCACGGAGTAATGGGTACAGTAAGCATGACTCAATATGGGGGGTGGGGTGGCAGGGGGCATGATCTCATAACCCACTGGTGCAATGGTTTTCTTTTCTACTCATGCTGGAATGAATAGCCAGGCAGACTTTGCCACAAAACTGATGTGGCACCCCAGTTGTTCAAACCAAAGGCCAGTTCTTGGTTGTCTGATGGTACAGGCTCACTTCCAGGCTACAGAGTGAGTCAAGCGGGCGACTGAACTTCACCCACCGCATTGTAAGTCAGTGGCTAAGACGTTAGCGTTAGCACTGACATAGGAACAACTACAGGCCGATTACAGGCCCTGGAGTTGCTTATTTACATTGCACTGGGGTCCACCTTGTATTGTTGCATTTTCAGGCAAGCATGTGCATTATGTTAAAATAAAAAATAATAATATATGATTTAAAAAAAGGGACAGTTTTACCTGAAGTGGGAGATTTGCAGCGGTCCTCTGAAGTGGTGGATCCCTCGCTGATGTCACCAAGTCCTGCTCAAACGGAAGAGGGGGTTATGATGGAGATCAGCACCTCCTCTAGACCATCTGGGTCAAATCAGGTACGGTTTACAGGCCCTGAGATAAAACTGAGGCTTTTTGAATGTTCTGGTTTCCAAATAAGAAAAAAAAATGCAGCAGACTCTTGGGAATGTAACAAGACCTCTAAAGATTCTCCAGCAATCGGTACATTTGTCTGATTCAGAACCAGGTTACTGCCCGTCTTCTGCGTGGGGGGGGGGGAAGACAAATCAGGTGAGGCTCTGTGGGAGTGCTGGTTACCATTCCCATTGTGTCGACACTGACAGGTCACCGACGACGATCAGATGATACAAACGCCATCGAGATCTGAGACTGGCGGCTCAGTCACAGCATCCCATTACACAACATCGCTTTGCATCATTTTGTAACACTAGAGGTGCAATTCTGCATCCACACCAGGTGGCGGCACTGCAGAGCAGCGCGTTCAGGCCTGCCTAGACCTATGTGTGGCGGCAGGAGAGCAAAGTAGATTTTTCTCTATTTTCATGATTCCATGAGAAGATTTCAGACACATGAACCGCTGCATGAAAGCATCCTGTTTGCTTTCAAAGAAGACAGACACATGATCCACATAGAAATAATCTATCATCACCTGTTTTCATTTTCCTATTCAAAATGCATGAGGCACACATGCATAATTCATATGTATATCTCCTCTTGAAATACATGCGAATGCAGGTGTAATCATTAAAAACACTCAAATACTCAAAAACAAATACTCAAACAGATAAGCCATGTACGTATATCTTGAAATGTCCATCCATCCATCCATCCATCTATCCACTAAACACTTATCCTGATTAGGGTCACAGGGGTCTTGGAGCCTATTCCAAGCACCTCAGGGCACAAGGCTGGGGTCCAGCTTAGATGTGATGCCAGTCCATTACAGGGCACACCCATATTTATACACTACAGGTTATTTAGAGACACCAGACAGGCTAACTGCTGGAGGAAATCCACACTATACAACCTGCATGCACACAGATGGGGTGGGATTGGAACCCAGAACCCTGGAGGTATGACCATGAATACAATTTACAAAAATTAAACTTTGGTTTTTAAAGGGTGGTATGACTAAAGCACGAATTTTATGATTGGGGTACAATTGTAAAGACTTGCCAGGTTTAAAAAAAAAAAAACTGATCAAACACAAGATTACACGCATTAATCATTTACACACTTGCAAAAACCTTTCTTTTGGTATCTTAATTAGAGTCTGTGGGAAGGACAGAAAGTGATAAGGAATCTATGACAACACTTAATGATGGTACCAGCGCATATATCAAATCATGCTTTATCTCTCTAAATGTGAGATTTCAAAACCATGAACACTAAAGAGCGGAAAACTGTATCCAGACTCCGATCTGCCTCCTGCCTCCTTGACGTAGTTACATGTGAGCCTTCGATGGATGCCCATGCTGTTTCTGGGCTCCCGTGAACTGCATATGAACTGTTTCTGAACGAAAGGCTTTGTGCTTTAAACATGGAGAATCGGAGAGAGAGAGCAAAACAGAGAGAGAAAGAGGGGGAAAACAGAGAGAGCAAGACAGAGAGAGAAAGACAGACAGAGCAAGACAGAGAGTAAAACAGAGGAAGCGAGAGAGAGAGAGAGAGCAAGACAGAGAGAGAGAGAGAGAGAGAGAGAGAGAGAGAGCAAGCCCTCACGTTGATGCAAAGTCCTATCCTAAGTGCTTTGGTTATGCCGCAGAGACAGAAGTGACAGGAAGTGACAGAGAAGCAGCAATAATCGCAAGTGACAGCGGGATGGGGGTTTCAAGGAGGAACAGGAAGTCAATGGTGAGAGTGTGAGGTCCAGAGGGGGCCTGGAGGGGGGGGAATGAACACACATCACCAAATACTGCCCTGATGTAGAACATTTATAAAGAGGCGGGAGAGCACATGAATCATGCAGACTGATTTTTTTGGGTTTTTCTGACGTTACACCAGCTTTGGCCCCAAATGGATCAGAAGGGGGCGTTTAAAAGGACTGAATCTACAATGTACTGAGGCGGCCTCGGCCTCGGCCTCGACACACTCAGCGGCCGCGTCTCCGGGCTGCTCGTCACCCTGGCATTACGCCCACTCGCCACCTCCACAACCTCTCCTGCGCTCCTCCTTACCTCCGGAGGGCTGTCTCGATTTGCGGGGGGAGCGCGGCTGTCTCTGGTAGGGGTCATTGGAGCCGTACAGCTCGACCGTCCCCAGGTTGAGCAGGACGGTCTTCTGAAGGTAGTCCACGACGGCCAGGCCGTTGCTGTTGCCGAACACGACGCTGTTTCGCAAACACAAACAACGCGGAATGGAGAAGGCTTACTGGAGATTTTATAAAAGGTAATCAGTACAATCGTCACCTCGGACGACAACGTCATCTAGCTGCCCCCCACAGCAGACCAGACAGGTAGGTGTGGTCCTGCTCTGCGTTACACCCACCAAGAACAAAAAAAAAAAAAACAGGAGAGCACGGGTACATATCTGTCAATGAAAACGAATTTAGAACCAGGTCTAATGGCCCATTTCAGAAATTCCGTAAAGGCTATACTTTTAGGGGCAATGGGTTCAGACGGGCCATTTTTAGAAACATCTCAATGAAGATGCATCTAGAAAGGGGTCTGATGGACCAGCCAGGCCATTTCGGCGAAGCCCGCCCACTCCGGTTACCTGCTGGCAGACGCGATTGTTTACCAGCGGGTCCAGTGGGGGACTGGCAGGTCTACATTCCCACCCGGCCGTATTTCTGCGAGGCCACTTTCGCAAGCCAGCGAAGCGCTAATGGCTGGATGGATGCATCCTCAGAGCGACAGGCGTTCTCGGTCCGCACCAAACTCACAGGCCATAGGAGGAGTTCACGGCCAGGCTGGTGATCTGCTGCGGCGGCTCCCCGCTGACCCAAACTAGCTGCACCACCAGCTCCACCTGGTACCCCGGTGACTGCTTCAGGGGGGTGCTGCGGACCCTGGCAGGGGGAGGGGGGGTGAAGGGTGGGCTATTAGTGGGAACCAGCTCCTGGTTTGGGTCACTGGACCAGCACAACCTTTGGTGTTAATTACAACATTAACTTTATTTTACTGAATATGGACAGCAGGTGGCGTAGTGGTTAAGGAAGTGTACCTCTGAGCAAAATTTTTTTTTGCCTTATATGTGCCTTAAATTTATGTGTTTACCTTGACTTTCTTTGGTTCCTAAACACCTGTATATAAACAGTAACAAATGTGGATTCACTAAGGCATCATCGGCGAACAGCGCCTACTTGAGGCAGGGAACATTATCCCGGATCCCGTCTGAGGAGCTGCTGCTGGTGGAGGGGTGGGAATGGGACACGCTCGTCTGGGGGCTCGAAGTTCCGCCTGCTGGAAGCTGCTCCCCCCCTACATCTGGGGACTCTGCGTCATTGAGCTCGTACTGCAGCCGGACCTCCAGGAGCTGTGGAGAGGCGACAGAATGCAAGGTTAGACGCCATGACCGTGACACACAGGGGCGGCCTAGGGTTAGGGGAGATCCGGGGCTCAGCCTAGAACCGTCGATGAGTTGGAGTTCAAGATTTAAAAGTATAAAATCCCGATCTGTCTATTCCATTCAAAATACATCAGCTCTGTGTCCGTCGTGGTGGCTCTGGTGTTTCAGACAACAGAACCACATTATACATTATACGAGATTCAGGGCCTTCCCAAACACATTCGGGGCTTTAGCTTCACTAGCCTGACCGTGCCGCTGCCTCCGGGACAGAGTGAAGCCCGAAGTGGCAAAATGGAACATAGTCAAGTGAGAGACTCATAGCGATTACAAGAGAAGCTTCGAGGAAGATGGATTGGAAGGGGCAGCTCCATAGAACCAAAATGACGCCGAGATCCGTTTCGGACAGGACCACCGACACCACACTCTGCTCGTCCTTACTGCCCAGATGTCAGAGCAAGTCCACAGGGAGCCCCCTTCAGGCAACACACTGGCGTAGCAGCTAATCACCCAAGGAAGATGAAGGAGGGAGCAGATGTCCCGCCAGCGTGGCATTCTGGGAAAAAGGGATGACTTTGACACCGGCAGCCGTTCTCCCGATGGGGCCGACACGGAATCAAGATACACACGGGCTAAATAAACATCGAATTTGTATGAGGTACGGAGCGGAGAGCCAAGGGAGCCTGACAGTGTCCAGAGCAGCTACGAGTGATATACTGTGCAGGGTTCATTAAGGCGTGCATAGCCATGTGTATACAAGCGGACAAAGGGAGGCTGAGAGAGAGGAAGAGAGAGAGAGAGAGAGAGAGAGAGAGAGGTAGGCAATAACTCACATGCATGGAGACAGGTACACATACAGGGAGAGAGAGAGCAATGTACACATACACAAGGACAAAGAGAGTGTGTGTGTGTGTGTGAGAGAGAGAGAGAGAGAGAGAGACAAGGAGAGGGGGGAGAGTAACTCACACACATATAGAGAAAGAAAGACAGTAAAACATATATATAGATGGACAGGGTAGATCTCTTTGTCACACACACACACATACACACACACACACACACACACACAGACACGGGTTAAATCTCTCAGACACAGTAAAGCCCCCCCAGGATTCACTCTGGCTTTACACAGGCCAGTAACAGCCTCCCCAGGGAGTCTAATGGGGGGGGAGGGGGGGCACAGTCAGGGACGCATTACCTGCACCACCTCCGTTGTCACTTCCTGTTTGCTGAAGCGGTAGACGATGACGTGTGCGGAGACGCCTGCCACACACAGCATGCGGCTCTCGGCGCACCAGGACAGGATCTGGATGGCGAAGGGGTCCTCGTCCACGATGTCCGTGCTGGGCTTGTCCTCCTTGTTGCGGGACTTCTCGAACACTTTGGCGGTCTTCAGCTTGTACAGCACCTGAAGCATTACTGTGGACGAGCGGGGGGTGGGGGGTGTCGTCGTCAAGCCGTCGCGGTATTAAAAGGCAGCTACATGTCACCCCACCCTGGAGCAGGGGGGCCGGCTGATGAAGAGCCCCCCTCTCCGCGTGGCGCTAATCGGACTCGATAGTTGCAGCATCATTAAAATGGGTTAATTACTTTTCAGCCGGTGTGTCAGGACTGGCTTCCCTTTAATCGCCGATAAACGCCTGCTATGGGGACACCTTTACCCCCCCTGTCCGCACCTCACACCCCACACGTCACACTTCAGCAGGGCCAATGAAGGGTGTCAAGGAATGCAAAATATTATTTCAATTAGAGCATCAAAGTGAGGAAATTCCCTCTTGGTGGCAACTTGCCCCCTGTCCGCCCCCCTCAGCCGGTGTCATGGTGATTAGGGCTGGGTGATGTGCAGTATTAATATCCACATCGCATGTTACACACATGTAATTGTCACATCGCAGCGACAGCGATAGTCAGCAGGGTTGAAATCAGGCTTCGGTTGCATCCCATTTTTCATACCGTCCAGACATAATTTTTTGATTCCATAGAGACAATAACAAGAAAAAGCAAGTGATTTATCGGCAGAACTTGAGGAAACACCACCGACATACTCTTTTGGTAGAGAGGCTGCATTTTTGCGTTACAAATATTGCGGTATTTATCGCAAGAAAATCACATCGCGATATTTGAAATTTTTCCAAAACCGCGCAGCCCTAACGGTGACACCCTAAATTGTGTCATCACGTTATCTCACTGTGCCTGAAAGACTATGCACCTTCCCCCCCATAACACATCCAGAACCGTCAGTCACATGACCTGAGGAGCCAACATTCTGCTCCACCTCCCAGATGTAACCTGGAGACAGCATCCGGCGGTCGGACTGGAGCGTGACTGATGTGGAGGGGAGGGGATTTATGGGAAAGCTGGGCTTTCCTGCTCCCAAGCCTCCCGGAAGCCATACAGCGTCAGAAAGATGCCCCCTCCCTCCCAGAGAACTATTTATCTCTCGGATAAACGACCCTCTTGCGGCACACCTAAGCCATACCTCCACCCGACCGTAGCCGGGCCGCTACCAGGGTCTGTAAACGGCATGAAAAATGGCTGCCACTTTCTGAGCGGTGCTCAGTGATAGACATCAGGAAATGAGGGCATAAGCTGTCGATGCAACATTCCTGCCAGTATATGTGACATTTTCCCGAGAATTCTGGG